GCAATAACGTCTCTAGGGTGGGGATGCTCGCAGTAGATAATTTATTTATATTCCCCCTCTGCAGGTAGCCCTGAGCCGGAATTTGGGAGGTTTAGGGTTTAACATACTATAATATATTATATAATATTGCGATATACTATAATAACTTGTAATATACTATAATTCACTATAGTATACTATGATATTCGATAACCGTTTCCATTTGCGTTTCCATTATTTAGGGTTATGTTTAGGGTCGGCAAAGTTCGCTAGGGCTTGGTCTTGCTGCCTTCAGCTTTTGGCTTGCAAGCGGTTAGCAGGGAAGGGAAAAAACATGGAAATGACACCCTAAACCCTCAACCCTTAAGCCAATGTGAACTTTCCATTGCTTAGGGTTCCCACATTTCCTTACTTTTGAAATCTCAAAATTTTAAAGTCCAAAATCCGCCCCCAAACCCTAAGTAATGGTAATGAACCCTAAACCCTAAACCCTTCCCAAAACCCTAGATGCGTATATTCCATTTCTTCGTTCCTGGCTTGCTCAGGAACATGCTACGTGTTTCTGACGTTCTATTACGCCTAATCTCGGCATAGTGTCTGTAAAACCAGACGAAACCAGTTTTTATAGGGCCCCAAACCTAACCTATTTAGGGTTTGGGGTATCATGGGCTCCCTACTACCCACGTCTATAATAATCCCCAAATAAATACAGTGTGTGGGGGTTAGCAAGGGAAGCCATGCTCTTCCCCTCCCTAAACCCCAAGCTCCCACCCATTACCATAAACCCTGCACCCTCAAGCCCATATAAACTTACCATTGCTTAGGGTCCCCAAATTTCCTTCATCTTCAAACTGCAAAATTCTGAAATCCAAAATCCGCCCCAAAATCTAAGTAATGGTAATAAACCCTAAACCCTAAACCCCAAACCCTAAGCCCTGAACCCTAAACCCTACGCCCTAAGCCCCAACCCTTCAGCCGAAGGCTGTGGCCAGGCAAGAAGCGGCCGGGAAGGTGCGCAGAAACAGACCTTATCCTGACTGATGTTCTGGGTTTAGGGTTTAGGGGTGGTCTAGGGTTTAGGGTTTAATCCCCAGATATTCAGTCCCCAAAAACACGCATGGAAAATCCACAAAAATGGAAATATTCATGCAAAATTCAATGGCTTTGCCCCTCTTTGCAGCGAAGACCGCTACAGACACACCCCCTCAGACACCAGTGAGATGCTTGGAGGTTCAGTGGTAGTTGTAGGAGGGCTTGTCCGAGTTGTACCGGGATCAGATACGGATTTATGGCGGGATACAGATGTAGGCCAGTTGTAAGTGGGATTGCGTGTGCCCTCGTTTCAGCTTTCATAACTACAGTTGCGCCGGCCCCCACTACCCCTTTTGTAGGCCACTTTTCAGTGCAGATGAAACTGCAAGCCCTAAACTGGACATGGGGATTGGTTTAAATTCCCTATAATACGGGGTCCTATATTTGGGTTCCCATTATAATACGGGGCCCTATATAAATTTCCCCCATTTTGGGAACAGTAATTTAGGGAAACTACCACATAGCTTAGGGCTGGGGATTCTGCGATGATGGTCGACAAAAAATAGAAATAACAGGTGTAGTCTGCTCCTCGCAGTCAAAACAGCAGCACGGGTGCTCTGAAAGAGTGAGGTCAGGTTCGGGCTCCTGGCTGTATGGCAGCTTCATTAGGGTTGAGGGTGTAGGGTTTGGATAGAAATGCGTGGGCTTTAAGTAAGGTCATCTCCTTGTGGACTCTCACCCCCAGACCCTACGAACCTCAAAGTAGTGGAGACCCGTATAAACCTCCTCCTTTTAAGGGCCTTAATGTCAGGATCCCATTTATAATCCTTATAAAAGGGAGGGTGTTTACTGAGTTAGTATTTCTAGCTTGTGGTTAGTAAGTTGATAGGGACTGTGATATAGGGATTGTGACTGGGATCGATTTCTCCTTTCCCAACCCTCGACCCTAAACCCTAAATAGAGAAATAGAAATACTGATAGTAGTAATGATATTAGAATAGCAAAATCAGTACTATTATTATAGAGGAATACAATCCATTATCATAGTTTCCATTTTCGTTTCCATTATCCCTACATGATCCCTATATTCCCCCAATGTTACTATATTACCCTTCCACTTTCGTTTCCCCGCCAAGCCCCCCAAAATTTTGAAGCCCTCAACGCCGAACCATTTGGTTTCCATTTGATTTCTTTGTTCCTTACTTTTACCGCCAACAAGTAAACCCTAAACCGTATGTCTCCCCATACACCCCAGTTTTCGTCTGAGTTTCCTTGCCCTTCGGACCATCAGCGGTCATTGGGTTGCAGGCTGCCAAAGCAGGCGCTGCTTCACCCCAGCAGCCCAAAGAGTGATCTGGATGTCCAGCGGGTTCGGGGAGCTTGGGTTTAGAGTTTGGGGTTAGTTAAGATGTATAGTCCCCCTTAAGTAGATAGAATATGGCTTTGGGTATATTATAATAAGATCCCCATATACCCCATATTCTATCTACTTAAGGGGACTATAGGGCTTAGGGTTATCGTTTGTTCTACGTTTGTCAGGTTATTTGGGATGATTTTGTGTTTGAGTTTAAGGTGTTCATCTCGTAGTGCGTACGTCTTGTGAGCATCAAGGTGCTGCACATTGAGTATTTGCGCTATTGTCAATCAATATCCTGGTACAGGCGTGAGGTGTGAATGTGTGAAGGCAGGGCACAAGGTTCTTTGCGGCTAAATACTTGCGGCGCAACTTTACCCTATTCAGCTCCTATGCCCGGCCGTATGAGAACCTGGACGGCAGCTCATCTGGATGTCCTCCGATATTTCTTAATCTGATACAGTGCTGCGACCTCTCTGTCACCAAGAAGGCCATACATCAAGCGCATGCAAGCCCCAAACAATCATACTGAGACTAAGCGGCTGCAATCTACGCATGCTGTCCTTGCGCGATGGCGGTGATGCAGAGCGGTCACGAACTTTTTTAAGCCAGCCACTGTGGCTCTCAAGCCCCTTTACTTGTGGCTGGCACTCCCAAATCAAGACGACGGTGAGGACCAAAGCAGGTACTGCCGTCTCAAATCTAGACGGAGACTCCACTTCGCAATGATTTAAGTTTGGCAGTTCGGTGGCCGGTCTGCACCCACACATGCGATGATATGTGTTATTGATGCCTTAAATCAGTGCAATTTCAAAGCAGGCAGCTCAGACTGGCTGCCACATGACTATATGGTAGTTTCCCAAAGTGATGGGACCCCAATATACTATAATCCTTACCAAGGTACCCTTGATTACTCCAATATACCATAATCCTTACCAAAGTACCCTTAATTTTGGTGCTGGCAACCCCATGTCAGATGCACCCCTCGGCCCGGAGATGGCAGCTTCCGCTCGAGACGTGATCTTGAGCAACTCGAGGCTGTAGATTTTAAAAGAAAAGTGAGCGCTATAGGTACTGGTGGTTACATGTATGTGTGTATTAGGGTTTAGGGTGTATGGCTGGTTATCAAAATTATGGTCCCTTTTTGGGTACCCTAAATATTAGGTACCATATTATATTAGGGATCCAAAAAGAGACAGTAATTTTGACAACCACCCATATCCTTATATGAGCCGCCCACATACCCTATTAGAGCATAGTAGTTTCCATTTTATTTGCATATATCGCATGACGCTGTGGCTCTGACTTTCTTGCTTGTAGGTCTGAGCTTGAAGCCTACATGTCCGGAGGTCTTGTCAGTTCAGGCTCAAACTTAAAAGGTGTCTCACAAGCCTTCTCCGCATTTGCCACCACGGCATGTACTAACCTTGCTCTACTTACCTTTTGCTGGGTGGGCTGCTTTGGCCCCAGCAAGCAAAGGCCCAGCTCAGCCAGGAAGACCCACTTTAGGCTAGCCTGTAGTATAATTGGGACGTTCTGGCAGCTACGATCCTCAGTTCGCCCCAGAATGCGCTTCAACAACTGGGCTTCGCAGTCTTCGGAAGCCCTCCACATTGATAGTACCTATAAACCTTTTTTAAACCCCAGTTTCCGTTTCACGTTCCATTCGGTTCTCCATTATTGCCCAGACCCCTGGGAGGATCT